AAAAAAAAAAAAAAAAAAAAAAAAAAAAAAAAAAGATTTGCAAAATGTTAAACCCCAAAAGGAAAAAATGACGTCAAAAAAAAAGCTAAACAGAAAAAAATTTATTGTTCAACTTGTCCCTAAAACTACTTTAACCATTAATAATAAATATTAAGAATATTGATAACTGATTGAATAATGCAAATTTTGTTAAAGTTTCAATTTTTTTCTCCCATCTGCTTTTTTTCTCCGTCTTCTCATAAACATGATTAATTTGCCTGTCATTCAACAGCAACCATAAAAGTAGCACTAAATAACTACCATCCTTTATCGACAGAAGCATCTACAGTTACCAGTTGCAGTATCAGTAGCAGTAGCAGGAGTAGAAGGAAAAGTAACAGCAAATGCAACAGCTGTTAACAAGAAGGAATTTGTTCATCTATAACCAACAAAATTGAAACAAGTACAGAAAACAAACGAAAATGTGCATGCATCAGAATGTCATGTGAAAAAATCGTTAAAACAAATAATAGCTTTAAAATTCTGGTATTTTCCTTTAAAAACGAAGAAAAACCTGAGAGAAAGTTTGAAGCCCTTGCACTTTGACGTCTCCTCGGCTGCTCCAAGCGGCGACGATGGCGACGCCGCTCTAATCGTAGCTTAGGGCAGCCGAGGTGACTTGTCGATCATGTCAACCTCAACTTCGAAACTGCAAAGTCCCGTTCTCCTAAGAAAAAGTAGTACTCTACAGTTGGAGACTTATAAACAACAGCGGGTTTGACATTTTACACGAACGTGAGAGCAGAGCGATTGGTGAGGAGTATGCAACAGCAGTAAAAGACAGTCGAGACGACGACGTCGCGACACTCGTGGAAAATGTGTTTAATTACCCAAGTTTGAGGTAAGGTGGATGGCATAGGTAGCAATGAGAAACTATAGACGAGCTTGACCTCTTACAGCAACCTGAGGGTAGACAGACTGATGAGGTGCAACTCGACTAGGGCCCCTCAAATGAAGGGTCTTTTAAGAATTGGATGATCGGTTGCTGATCAATCAGGAGCCGATGAAAAGCCCTAACTTTCACACAGCGCCACGAGGGGGCTGGATGGTGCTCCCGAATTTGTTACCGAAGATGGTACAAAGCGCTGTCTCCATATATTGTATCCCATACAAATTCGTCCATGTAAGACTGCAATAGTGCCCTCTCCGTCCCATTTCAGCTGCTACGTCTTCATATGTGAGCCTTCGGTGTTTGGCCCAATACGAGGACAAGCAGAAGACATTCTTTGAGCTCAAGTTGTATTTTTCAAAAAATATGCCGCTGTAGAAACCAAGTTTCTTGCGGCACTTCCTCCTTTTGCACCTAAAGTACTTATTACCCTTAACCCTACCCTTCTTAATCTCTGTGCATAGAGATATACCACCCCCCACCGCAAGAACAAATGCGGACCAGGAATAAAAATTGAAACGATGCCATCTACCTCTCGAAGTCGTCGTCTGGAAGCGTGAGCCTTCCGTCGAGCGTCCTACGATTCAAAGAGATAAGAGCATCCATATATAATAACTTTTTTGAAACTAATGTTATCTTCGGTAATCTCGACTTATAAGGCAGAAGAAATACTTGCTTGAGAGCAGGATAAGTATAGGATAAACTCTACTAGATCTTAATTTTCAATCTTAGAGTCTTGCAGAAGATTTGACTGTGCAGAACTATACTGCACAGTTTATGGATTTGGAACCGAAGCTGACATTACCAAAGTGTGGACTGGTACCACTACACTATATCGTACTTACTATTCAAACGTTCTAAGATATATATAAATAAGCAAAGAAGCTGCGGCTAGGTCGCTTCATTCAGCCTTACTGCGCCGCCGCCCCTTATTGCTGTCCCCTTCCTCTTTGTTGTTCTCCCCTCCACGTTGCCGTTGTCCCCTTCTCTTTTGCTGCTGTCCCCTCCACTGTCCCCTTCCTCAACTTTCCCACCGGAACGCAATCAAAAAATCGGCGAGCTGGGGCCAAAGTGCAAGAGTGCCGAAGTTTAATTAAATGACAAAAAAAAAGATCGACTTCATTATGTTTGCCATACTTTTGATACATAATTGCTGAAGAAGAAGAGAAAAGTAGATGATTACAACGATGGCAAAAGTAGATGAAGAAGCAACAGAAAACGACGAAGAAAAGCGACGAAAACGAGGGACAGAAAAGAAATTTTGGTTTTGCATCTTACAATCAAATATGAAATACAATGTACCACTTTCTTCAACGAAAAAAATTGAGGAATTCCTATCTTTTCTTGTTTCTACCATTTCCTTTTCTCTTTTTTTTATTCCTAATGAAACGTTAGAAACAAAACTTATTGATCACCATTTACCAAATTACTGGCAATTAAAGTAGCAAACTGAATTAGATGGTCGTTGTTGGTAGAAAGCTGCTCAGTGCTACCAAAAACAGAATTTATAAGTTTTCTTCACCTTTACAAAAAAAAATGGAAAAAGAAGAGACAAGTATTGGTATGAGAAGTATGTTTACATTTAAGGTTTTTGATGGAATGTTAAATTGATGGTTGCTGTATTGTTGAATAGACCAATGAATGCACAGATGATCCGCAAAAGTCAGTAACAGTAAACATGCTTTTGCTGAAGTAATTACACAGATACACTGGTTTTCCCAGCGTTCAACAGCGACTTATATTGCAAAAAAAAGTTGAAAAGCCTCAACAAAATGAAGTCAGAGAACTAATGTTATTTACTAGTCCACCGAATCAACGTAACAAATCCGTATATCCAGGAGTCAGCCAACAAGTATCTTGGGTGGCAACAATTCAATCATCTAAACTAACTAACTAACCAACTAACGGATTTTACTAAATTTGTCATCCATAAATGGTACTGGAACAGTCATAATACAACAACAACAACAACAACAACAACAACAACAATAACGGTAGCAGTAGCAGCAGCAGCAACAACACCATCAACAACAATAGAAATTGTTAAAACATGGATTAATTCGGAATATAAAAGAACAATCAACGATTCCCTCCCTCGACGCTTTTTCTGGCCATGTCATTGATGCAAAAAAATTCAAAC